AAAAGAGATTCCTTGAAAAATAAATCTCAACCCTACAAGAGACAATCTAAAGACAAAAACAAACAAAAAAGAAATAAACACAAAACATTCATAGCCTTATGAATTTCTTGCAGATATTGCAGTAAAATAATTGACGAAAAGGTAGCCATTGCCACGGGGAGAAGGAATGAGATTGGAATCCTGCAGTGTCAGACCAATCGTGAGCAAACTTTCTATTTTCTTCTCTTCGTCACCCCCCCCACACACACACACACCACCGCCTATGCGCGCACACGCACACACACACACACACACATACTACACAAAGGGGAGAAGGACAAAGCTGTTGGCGACGATTACAATCAGCTGTTGTGACAATCTAAAGCATTTTGGTTCTATTTTCCAACCTCTATCCACCGTTGTTTCTTGCTCAGTATCCAGCACCACCGTACCGTTTTCAATAGGAAGGAGTTATAGTTGGCTACAGCCTGTCTCACTGAGGCGGGGGAAGGAGAACGATAGCACACAACCTACACCAGAATCGACAGATTAACAAAGAAGCTGCTTCAATAATACATTTTAAAAACTAAACAAAATCTTTGAGCTAATGGAGTAGACTATAGGAATGGAATTGGGGGTGGGGTATGGAGAGTGAGAGAGGGGGGGAGGAGATGGAGAAGAAGAAGCAAAAGAGAAAGAGGGACAGATAGACAGACAGACAGACAAGCAGAGACAGAGAAGCAGAGACAGAGAGAGAGAGAGGAGTAGACAGCACACAGGACTTTTATTCAAATGAATTGTTCACACAAGTTCTCCGCCACGCTCAGGAAACCGCCAGCAGAGACTCCAGTATTATGTCATAATATTTTTTATGTGATGCTGTCCTCCAGTCTTTCTCAACCTCTGTTGTTAGTCCTCGCATGTTCCATCATTGCACATCCTTTGTTAAATTGTTATTTTGTGGGGGGGGGGGGGTTGTTGGCCAAATGATTTATAAATATATGGAACCCCAATGCCATCTCATCTTTGAATACTTCATTGGAGTTTAGAATTTGACCTTTTTACAATTTCAAAAAACATTCTTAGTCCATTTGGGAATCAAATCTGAACCCTCTGCAAGTGAGGATAAGCCAAATTTTCAAAACACCGGCAGAGCAGTAACATCCTAAGCATTTAATTCTTAGAAAACGCTTGTATTAATGGTCAATAAAGTGCTGCAAAAAAGTTGACAAAGAGAAATAAAAAATGTTAAGAACCAGAACCCTTTCCTGTTTACATTCTTCAGTATCAACGGCCTCCAATGTGTTCAACTTCAAGAGATTAATCAGCCTCCTAGTATTGTAATTCTTTTGAGCTTCTTGTAAATGAGAATAATTCTGACTTCTGTGATGCCGGCTTCGACACAATTGCCTTACTAGAAATAAAAACGAACCTTCAGTTTAATGCTTGTCATCTATTTTTATCATAGTCAAGCTTACCATTGAAGAAATCCCCAAAGAAAAAAAGTGGCGTTTTTTTGGTGTTTTTTTTTTGGGGGGGGGGGGGTTGCTGCTTTGGCTGAGTTGAATGCTAGCACTGAATTTCTTTGACCTCCGAGGTTAAACACAGGCTCTTGCATAATTTCTTTGTCCGGTTTCACCCATTTCAGCGCACTTGAACAGGATAGGATAACAGTGGACAAACAGTATTGGAAGAAAAAATTCCAGTACAATTGGATGAGAATTTTAAATTTTATTAACAATCTCAAATACAAAATTTCATATCATACATCACATCAAGTAACACATCCACACTCTACGACTCATAGTTACACTTTCCCCACATTCACTGCTATCAACGTTCATAGCAAATACTCAGCAAGCAATCATTCAACATTCAACAATAGTCGAAATATATCTAGCATCAAGCTTAATACATTCATAAAAACTCCAGGCCAGATTTTAAATAGGGATTTATTCACCCTCCCCCCCCAAAAAAAAAACCAACCAAAAAAAACGTAGTGGCTATGTGTATGGCTTCCGTACGCATAGCATCGAGGCTATGTGTATGGCCCTCCACTTCCCATAATAAGCTAGACTTTGTAGGCGGCACATAAACTATCAAACCGGACACTACAAGTGGACAAACTTAAACCCTGGAAGCGGCAGGCCCTTGAATATATATATAAAAAGCGTGAGCCGGGTACCCGGGAAGCGCGCAGGCCCTATATTTGGGGATGACCTACTTCGACTGGGAAGCACGCAGTTATAAAGGGCATAGACGCTGACTTTTTTCAAAGGAAAATTTCAGCATTCCTTACATGGAAAATGACGTAAATTACAGGTCAAAGTTATAAATAGTGATCAGTGACTTTGCAAGTTTTCTTGACCTCGTAGAGCGTCTCTTGGCCAAAGATCGTAGGCCTACATAACAAAATAGTTCACTCAGCCAAAAAGGTGTCCGCAGAAGTCTGCACATTGGTTCAGATGATGCTGCAATCTTTGTTTTGAAGCTCTCTTTCGTTTCACCAGAAGAAGAATAGGAATAGCACAGTTTGTTAGTTTCACTTTTATTATATATTTTCACACAAGTAGGGTAACTCTGATCACAAAGTCCACACTTTTTTTAATAGGGCGCCACCGAATATTGAGGACACTTTTTGAATTGGCTTAATTATAGAGGATAGAACTATCTTGTTATACACGATCTTTGTCTTGGCCAAGTTATCTATCGATAAAGTGACGCGGTCCAGCTAAGTGATTATCAAGGCCGTGAGCATACTTCTATCTAAATCTAAGGGCCGTACGTAGGGAGGGCCGTACCCATAACCACAGGCAAAAAAAGAAAGAAAAGAAAAAGAAAGAAAAAGAAGAAAAAAAATTAAAAGAGAATATAAAAATATGTTTACATATATATAAAGTTTCTAAACTCAACTGCTATGTGTCTTCTTCCATATCATCATCAGTATTCATAAACTTCTCTCGCACATCTTTGATTTTCTCATATTCAAATTCCGCCCCCACAGCACAGGACATCAGGGATTCAATGCTTCGGTCTTCTAGAGGGCCAAACCCATAGCCATTACATTTGTCGATCGCTTTGAGTAATCTCAGCATGCTCTCCTTGTTCTGGGAAAAGCAACAACAAAAAATAGAAGATGGTGAAAAAGAACACTCATACATCTGAAGGAAGATGATGTAAAAAACCCCCACATATATCTGAAAGATAGGCACAAAGATAAAACAAAGAAAGAAACAG